GAAATTCTCGATGGAATCAACTACATTCACATTGAAAGTGAGGAAATGCAGAACGGATTTTTCGGTTATATTTGTCCGATGAAAGCTCGGGACCTCCAGTTGCAGAATATCGACGGTGAGAGTTCGAACTCCTGCCGCGTTTTTGCCATTTTTTTCTTAACACATTTTGAGTTTTCGGAAATAATAATTCCTTTTGTTTTGACGTCATTAACCACTTTTAAAATGACGTCACCCGTTACAGGCTACGTAGTGATGTCGGATGACGTCATCTTCAATCACTGGCAAAGGGTCGACAATTCCCGGGTTTTCCACACGACTGGCCTCACTTATTACGATGAAGAAGGTCCCTGGTACTCCAATTTCGACGGCAATATGTGTACGTCTTTAAATGTCGGACGAAAAAAAGCTGGTCGCATTTTCCAGCCACGAAAGCCATCGCTAAAATCTTCCAGTTTATCAATGAGACCGAGGATTCTGAGGCGCTCAGAGTCTGGCAGCAGTTCGATCAGGGGGTTCGTAGTAGAATGATCATCTTAAAAATTACTTTATCAACCAAAATTTTAAAAACCAAATAACGCTAAAAGTGGGAGAATGATAGAAATATGGGCTCGTTGGAAAAAAAAAATAAACTGATGAATTCAAAATCGATTACTTTTCAACGAAAAATATAATTTTTCAATCTATTAACTCTATTTTTCATATAATTACCATTTATTTTCTCCGCCCATAACACCCATAACACAAAAAAAGAAGTTTTTCCGAATAACCAGAGTTTCACAAAAATATCCCTTGAGTGACCACTAGACTGTAAGTTTTTCCAATTCATGCTATCGTTCATGAATGGGCTATAAATTGAGCAGAATTATCACAGAAAGTTTTGGAAAAAAAAATGGAGCTACAGGCTGTCTAGTGATCACTCAAGGGATATTTTTTTCCTGTTCAGAAAGTTGTGATTTTTGTGGAGAACTTCCTTTTTTGGAGCTTTAAAATTAGCAAAAAGCGGATGAAACATCATTATTTCAATGTGATCAGGAGACAGACCATTTTGAAAAGCCATGTACCCGGAAGTGCAAGTATTTTAAAGGTAGAGCTATAACTGCCTTCCTGAGGCTCACTTTTTTTTTCCATTGTTGTTAACGCTACCTCTCGGGCTTAAATATTATTTTTACTCATTTCGTGGTCATTTTCTTAAGCCGATCCCTCCTTCTAGGTAAAGTGAGTACCTTACTTGCCCATATATGGATCAGGAGGAGATTTTCGAAAATAAAGAACATTGAAAGTTCATGAAATATTCAAAAGTTCAGATCAAAGATAACGGCTACGAAGGCGCCGACGTTATAATGCACCGTAGGAAGTCGTGGAGTGTCAGCGATTTGTGAGTTGTTTTTTTTAAGTACAAAATTTATTAGCTTTTAAAAGGTCATGTTGAAGATACTCTTGTTTATTTTAGGCTTTATAATGAATATTCTTGTGTTTTTTGTTTTTTCCCCGAAGTTTTAGTTTTTTTATCTTTCTTTTTACTATTTTTGTAGTATATATAGATTTTTTTCTTGTAGGCGAAAAAAATTTATGAAAAAAAGCATTGAATTTTTTTAATGGCTTCTTGAAAATTTTTCTCTATAGTACATTTTAAGAAGGGATTTCTTAAGGACTTTTAATGAAAAAATTTTGGCCCATTCTTCAATCGCTTCTATAGCTGATTCACGGCTGGCTTGAGCCAGGAATAAAAGGTCTTGACACGAAAAAAAAAGAGACAGTGCCTGGTTTATGAAGAGTGCAGACACGCTACGTCTTTTTGCGTCCAAAGCTAGCCATGAATCGACTATATAACAACTTTTTTGAGAATCAACATACGAAATGGGTTTACTCGAAGGTTTTTGATGAAATTATTTAAAATTCTATCTCCTTGAAACAAAAAAAAATTGGTCGATTTGAAATTTCAAGCTACCGTCTGCCGAGCAGCGTCATGGACTACTTCGCCGACCTCATGGAAATCTTCTTCGAGAACAATTTCTTCCACGAACTCGCCATCAACAAATTCCTCCACTCTGTCAAACATCAAACGTAGTTCCAAAAGAACCGTCCGCACTTTGATAATGTCCATCTCCAGAGCCAAGATCCGGGAGGAGAGCTATTTGTGGTTTGGAGATCGAGCCATTTGGCCGAAAAAGTACAATTCTTCGATGGTCAGCTTCCATCCCGTAAAATATGGCGCCCTTAGAAGCAGTTTGACCGAGAGATTTAGGTGAGTTTTGGGGAAGGAATGTGGGAATTTCGGAAAGGTAGGGATTTGGAAAAAAAAGAAAAATAGTTTTTTTGAAAAGGAAACATGGAAAATGATCTGTGAATGAACTATTATTATTATAAAAAAACTAGTCTACTTAGGATTTAAAAAAAATTTTTTTTACGGAACTGTTCCTCCATATATTTTCGCAAGCTGTGTTTAGTTTTCAACTTGAAATATTCATGTTAAACCTAAAACTTTCAAATTTTGAGTATATCGAGGAAGAATTCACACACAAAAAATGGGTCAAAGTTGATTTTCCTCTCATAAATTGCCTTCCAAATAAGTTTTTCCGTTTCCTCTCATTAAAAACCACCTAAAATTAGTACGAAATAGAAACATTCAATTCAATTTTTGCGAAAAAACACGAGGAAACAGTGGGATTTAGGGGGGTAGAAGCTTGAAAATTAGAAGATATAAAATAGCTTTTTTGATTTAAAAAAAAAACACCAATTTTTCTCTTTCAAAAGCTATCATTTTGTGTAGTTTTCCTTGCTTTCCTGGTGATTTTTCTGGCTCTCAGAAATCGTTCAGAAAGTTTGAGAAAATCAGAATGTTCAGTACAGATCCTAGATATTATTTCTTCTAAAGACGCTTGATTTGAGAAAATAGAAAAGCAAACCTATTCATTTCGCCTGTTGAAACACTTCAAAAAAACTAATTTATGCTCTTCGAAAAAAATTGGAAAACTTGCCTTCAAGAAAATTCTTCTTTATTTTTTTAACGAATTATTTTGTGGAATGCCTATCGATTTTCATGTTGCAGTTACTGCGAGACGATACTCCAAACTTTTGTCGACATTTTGATGCACGACAAGAAAAACTACGAAGAGAAAGCCGACAAAGATCCCGACTACAAGAATGGCTGATCAATTAATCAATCAATTATGTACTGAATCGATTTTTATAACTTTAAATTGTAACTTTATGTGCTGAAATAAGAGTTTTCTAACATTTTTCTAGTGTCTTACTGTGATCTTTTCCTCAATTTCAATGATAACGGGTCGTATGAATTGGATGAAATGAATGATTTTTGACTTTCTCGATAAAATTTTTTGTTGATTGAAGAAATTGGACGTTTTCTTTTTTATATTTCATTGATTACAAAGGATTTGGTACTGGGAAAATTTTTAGTGTCCACTATAGAGGCTCGCCGAGGACTACTTGGAGAGGACACTGTAGTGGCCACTATTTTCCGTTTTAGTGGTCGCTTCAGTAGTTTTTCATCCAGTATTCCTTCCAGTAACTCTGATAACTTTGAAACAAACAGATTGGACCAGTTATGATGATTCAGTGACTCCTAAAGTGGTCAATGAAACGTCAAAACCCTATAGTGGCCACTAAAAATTTTCCCAGTAGGTTTAAAAATCGAAAAACCTGTTTTTTTGGTACAAATTCTTTATTTTTCCAATATTTTTTACTGTTGAGAGAATCTGAATTTTTCTTTTTGAACCATTTTTTTAAATCAGAAATAAGTTTTTGGGTAATTTTGATAAATTCCAAAGAACTTCTTTTTGAAAAAAAACAAAAATTTCGATCAATTTTTATTTCACTAATTATAGATTCCTTTGAGTATTCTGAAGTAAAAAAATGAATATTTTATCAATTTTTCTGTTAAAAAAATTCAAAATTGTACATAGAAATATATTATCAAATTTATTAATCAAGAAGAAAAATCTGTACAATTATCAAATCATGTCGATGGTTGAGGGAACTTTTTTTGTTATCAAAAAGGAAGAAAAAAATCAATAAATATACAATGAGAATCAAAATTAAAGATAGTAAAGAATATATTTTCAAAAAAATTCCAACAGACTTCGGAGCACTGGTGACAAATCGAAAAATTTTTAAGGTACTTTTTTTAAAAAAATAAGTTGAAAAATGAGCTAGAAGGTTCACTGAAACTAGGAATTTGAGGAGTTTTTACAAAAAAATGGGGCAGGGTAATAAATAATAATAGAAGCTTAAAAGGTTGCATGATCCGTTAAATGAGGATTTTCTAAGAAAATTGATTTTTTTAAATCATTGCAAGGGGCTAGTTAAGGGATTTCAACAGTTTCAAAGTAAGCGGAAAATTGGGATCACTCTAAAAATCTTCAAAAGAAAAAAAATAAGACACTTAGGAAGTGGTCCTTAGAGGGATTAGGGGGGAAAAGCCTATACAGGGGATATCAAAGGGAGGCAGGGTCTGACCCCTAAGATTCTTAGATCAAGTGGCCCCTATAGTGGTCTTGAAATTTTTTTCATGTTTCAAAAGTTGAAAAGACATGTAGCGGCCAGTAGCATTCACCTCTAGAAAGGCCACTAACTAAAATCACTATAGAGGTCACTTTTCTAAGCTTTAGTGCCCCCTATAGGGGAAAGGAGGCGGTCACTTGAAGAGAATCTAAAAAAAAGCTCCTCGTCACTCTAGGGACCACTCTGAAGTTCCTAAGCGAGGAATCAATGGTTTTGGGCATTTCTCAAGGGATCACTTAACGATTTTTTCAGAAATCATGAAAAATTAAAAAATAAAACAATTGAAGGAAACAAAATCACAGCTTAGATCTGATTTTTTGGTAGTTTTCAGATTTCTTCTGTTCAGGACCCTATGGAGGGATGCTTTAAATAATTTGAAAATTTTCCAAGAAATTAAGCTTCGAACACTCAGAGACTAAGTTGAACAGAAAATAGAAAATTCTTGAGAAAGGTTGAATAAATAAGGGAAGAGAATTCGCTTAAAAATCGAGCCGAATGCTGTTGGATCGTCGGATTTTCTGCTTCCAGAAGCCTTCCAAAGAGTTCATCCTTTCGTAGGATTGTCCAAAGGGATCGGTTAGGTCGGAACGAGGGAACCGTCGTGGGGACGGGATGTCCACACCGCCTCGGAGGTTACTGTAATACCGTAATCCGTAAAAAAAAAAGCGATTTGGTCAGGGTTTTGAGAAGTTGAGGAGCACTTAGTGGGTTTTAAGAAAAAAAATACAGCTATAAATAAATATTGAAAAAAATTGTTGAAAATTAGAATGACACGAAGGTTACTGTAATACCGTAATTAGTAAAAAGAGCGATTAGGTCATGGTTTTGAGAAGTTGAAGAGCTGGATCATCTATTGTTGTTCATCAAAAGAAAAATGAGAAAATTGTGAGTGATCTCTTAAGGGTTTTGAGAAAAAAAAAATTAATCTAGAAATGGAGTTTGAATAAAGTTTTGTTGAAAATTTGAATGACACGAAGGTTACTGTAATATAATAAATTTGGAGAGTTATAGCCTATTCCGCGTCAGCTTGTAACTTTATACCTGTTAAAGATACCGTATGTCTTTAAATAAAAGGTCTCGAAGCGAATGCGAAAAAAAAGCTCAGTATACTGTGGTTTCTCCTGCTTTTGAAAATGAAAAAGTGAGAAGTTTTCGCATAATTTTCTATCATTTTTTGAATATTCCCAAAATCAGGCGATTTTGTGAGGGACCACGTGGTTCGAGACGACTTGAAAAGTTTGAAGGTTCCGTAAATACAACTAGAAATAAATCAATGGAAAGATGAGCTAATTTTTGGGGTTAGTTCCATATAAGAAAGTTACTGTAATACCGTAATCTGAAGAAAAAGCGATTTGGTTACGGTTTTGAGAACTAGAAGAGCTGAAATCTAGAGCAAAGACTTCTCAGAGTAACGGGAAAGATGTGAGTGATCCTTTGAGGGTTTCGATGAGAGCTGAGTAATTTTCAAAAATCACAAGTTTCCTGTCCCTTTTTTTGTAGGTTCGGAGAGGTTATTCAAAAAGGAAGAAATATTGGAAGCTCAAGATGTCTTTTTTTTTGAGCTTCTACAGTGTTGGAGACCTTCAAAATCTTGGATTAAATTCCAAATAGCTGTTCTAGCGTCATTGAAGATCTTGACCGTTTCTTCTAGTTTGTCATATAATCAATTAAAGTCCAAAAAACCCACGTAGAAACCAGCGGATCAGCCAAATTGTCCAAACTGCGCGATTTGGACTTTGGCTCCCTCATAATCGTGTCTCCGAACATTCGGTACCTCGCCGAGTCTCCCTCGATTGGCAGCTCCGACAGCGAAGCTCGCGTGTCACTCTCGTACCTCTGCAATCCGTTGAAATTCTCAGCTAACATGAGCAACGAACCTCCCGACTGCTTCTTCCGCCCGACTCGCCGACCAGCTTGTTCTTGAGCTCGTCGACGACCCTTCTGGAGATGTTGGCGTGGGGGCGTGGCTTCTGGTCGACATCACTATCTTCTCTTCTGTTTCTCTCGATCCTCTCTAATGGCGATGCTCTCTCGTCGATCGATGAAGTTCCTCGACTTCCGCGGGACGTCGAAGCTGACCTTTGCGGTCTGACGTTGTTGTTGGTGGCGCTGGAAGTGGTCACTTGAGGGTTTTTTTTCTGACGGAGCCTGGAGTTGGTTGAGGGTTATCACAAATCAATTTTGAAATATTCACTTTAGTTGTCATTCTAATCGAAGTGGTGACTCTAGAGGACTTGGATGGGTCTTAAAATCCTGGGTTTGTTCAATTTCTGAGACTTTAGGATAGCTTTTTTTAGGTTACTCAAGTAGAAAGCTTTTAATTCAGTGGTTTGACTTGCCCTTTTACTTTTTAAAAAAATATATGATTTTTTTGAATAAGCTTAAAAGAGCCGAGACGAAGAGATGAGCGAAGCCTGAAGAGACGGCAGAGAAAATGAGAAAATTTTTCTCTCTGGCCTCTCTTCAGGGTTCATTCTCTTCTTTTGCCTTTATCTTCTCGAAAAAGGATAAAACCGTAAAAAAAGAAAATATAAAGAATTTTTTTCTCTATCACACTCTGATTTTTCATTCAGTAGGTGTTCAGGAAAACATGGAATATTAAAATTTTACTTCTAAGCAATTTTTTAAAACTTTGAAGATTCGAAGGTCAATTTTTTTAGTTCCATCCTATTCTATTTCTATGATTTCTAAAACAAAACTATTATTATTGGTTTAAACTACAAGCTTATAAGTATCGGTGGTTAAAATGTTTGATTGAAAAGTATTTTGGGATACTTTCCGAGTTTCGAAATGAGGTTTTTCGAGTTTCGACTTTAGTTTTTACCTGATTAGTACAGGTGAAATTGCAATAAAATCATTCAAGGGAACACTTAAGGCTCACCTCCTGGGGACCAACAAGCCGGAGAGGAAAAGTCGATGTTCAAGGTCCATTATCGATCGTTGAACGTCGGGACGGGACAGCAATAACTGTAAGTTCCGATTTTGTTGGAGAAATCACTCTAGGGATCCCTTGAGCATTTTCAAGCTTGATATTGTTTTTTTAATGACGTTATCTATGTTGAAATTGAACCAGTCGGTTTTTTTAAAATTAGTGACGTCATAAGTCCAACAATTCCACCACTACTTGAAGAAATGCACTCTCTCCTGTTCACTTGCTTTTTCCATGTTTTATGATCTTTCTGGTGAGGGATAAGAGATCACAGACAGGTCAGAAAAGTCGTGATCACTAAACTATTGCTTCTAACTTCATTTTCGATCCCCTTTTCTTGACCAAACCTGTAGATTAGCGTGCATTATCTGGGCGGTCTCGGCACTGTCACAGCGGTAGCAATGAACGTGCATCGGAGACTGCATCTCTGGATTCAGCACTAACATGACCACTCCGACGACGTCGTCGAATGGCGCTTTCCCCGTGATGCTGTAAATGGAAAATTTCTAGCTGTTCCTCATGAGGAAAAGTAGATTTAAGTAGGGGCCGCAGGACAATTTTCATAGTCAGTTATATAAAGTTTAAAGCTATATGAAAAGGAAGCTGATGGCAATTGAAAGCTAACTGCGAAAACAGAAAAGAAAAATATGATAAATGGAAAAAGTTATAACTTATAGCTGATTCACGGCTGGCTTGAGCCATCGAGAAAAGGGTCCTGCCACGAAAAGAGACAAGACAGTGCCCTGGTTGGTGGAGAGTGCAGACAGGCCACGCCTTTTTGCGTCCCAAGCTAGCCGTGAATCGTCTATATAAGCAAAAAAGTGGCGAAATCGGGGGGACCATTTTTGTGTATCGCCTGTGTGCTACGACTTGGATTTTCAGCAAACGACATTCCGCTGTGACACTGCGCGCCTTTGCGAACTTTGGTCGCGCTTTTAATTTTTTTCTTTTATTAAAGTACTTTACTTTCATGTGCTCTCACAGCAATAACAATCAATTGAAAGCGTGACCTAGACTCGAAAGACGCTTTGCGAACGCACGCATCGGAACAGCGGAGTGTCGTTCCGTGAAATTTCAAGTCGTGGTTCACAGGCTATAGCTTCGATTTTGATTGAATTGAAAAATTTCAATGAACAATAATGAAGAGAAAATGTTCTGAAACCCTGGGTTTTCCTTCAAGTTCTGACTTTAATTTAAAATAATAACCGCCGAAAAATCGAGAAATTTTCGCTTTCCAGATTTATTAACTCCATGTTGAAACTTATTCAATCCACTTTTACAGAAGCATTTCACGTGAAATTTCATTTTTGTTCAAATTTTTTTCTTTCAGTTTTGATCAAAATAGCCAAATGAAGTTCTAGTGAAATCATTTGATCGGAAAAAAATCTGAAGAGGGCGGGGGCGAATCTTAGAAAAAAGAACTGGTTTATCAAAAAAGGCAGGTCAAATTTAAGGACGGAATAAGAGATCTGGGATAAATAGTAGTAAGTTGAGAAATTCAGTGTTTTTGACGTTAATGAAATGGAGTATCGAAAAAAGAAAGAGTGGTCTAAATTTGCGGCGGGAAAAAATATTTTATTGAGAATGTTTCATGAAAGTAATTCAAGTGAAAGTTTCGAAAAGATTTTCGGGTTCAAAAAATATTAGAGACTTTAATTTTGAAGAAAAATGCTATTATGCAGAAGATATGGACCGCAAGCCGTTTTTTCGAAATAATTCAAATAGTATGTTTTTTGACTGTTCGATAGACACGGCGCTTTTTTGACGACGCCACGCCCACTTTTTCTCCGTAAAGTGTAGTGCGTCGTGTGCATGCACTGCGCCGCTTTCGCGCAGAAAATTGCTATTATGTAGAGAAGTTTCGATTCGTCTTAAAAACCTCTGACAATAGGACGGCCTGTGCCTTTAATATACCCTGTTATTTAGAGTCGGAATCTCTGCCGTTCTCATGACGTCACGTGGGAACGGCGGATATTTTGGCTCCGCCCAACTTGTTTTTGGTTTCGCATTTTCTTCCACTAACAAAAACGCCGTGTAGAGGAGATTGTCCATATTCTTAATCCGTTAGTTTTCAAAAAAAGGTTCACACTAAGAAAAAAGTTATGACCAAAAAAGTGGCGTTCCACTGGGAAAAGTAAGCCGCGCGCTCTTTCTTTAATTCAGAAGTGTTCAAAATTAAAAAAATTGATTTTTATATAATGTAAAAGAATGAAAATCCTTTAGTGGAAACCTGTAAGTGATACAGTTGGCGGCGATTTGGAACTTTACCAGCTGCATTTTGACTTTGCCGCTTCTTGACATGGCCGGTACGGATTGGATCAACTTGAGGCCTTTTGAAGAGATCTGAAATAGATAATGAAGTGGTTGAAATTTTGATGTTTTTGAGAAATAGACTAAAAAAGCAGAAAAATGGTCATGACAATTATAAAATTGATGAAAACCCTGAAAAAAAGTAAAAATTCGTAAAAACAATCTTTAAGCGTTTCATATATGTATATATGAGCTGAGGTTTAATGAACCATGCCCTTATCAAAACCGTATATTTTTTTCCAAAAGCCCTATCTGAGAATTTCAAAGGAGCATGTACAAATTTCAAAAAGGTTTTCTTTTAGAAAGTTCCGAAATGTGTATTTTCTTGTGTTTATGTCCTTAAAAAAACCAGAATGCATGAAAATTTCCCTTAAGTAGTCATTTTAGGGTTTCCTTGTTTTACAACTTACACTTCAACTTTTTTAGAACATTATTTCATGAAATTTGAGAAAAAAAAGAAAAAGAAAGAAACCTGAACAGTCGCTTTACTTGGCGTTTTTTTGAAGCTCTCCTTGAGCAGTTGCCGCATGGCTGGCAGGACCACCTGAACTGTTTTTTGATGACCACTCGTTTTGAAGCATTATTCTAGGACTTAAGAAGGAAAAAAATTACCGCGGATCCACGAACGCCATCGGCTTCCTTTGACCCAAGATACCAGACGTAAAAATGTGACTTGGCGATTTTGGATTGAAAAAACCAAGACATTCTTCCACTCGGCTTCAGGTTCCGAACATGCCCTTTCAAGGAATGGAGTCTGGAAACTTTTGTTATAATAAAATCATAATAAACCTGTTTGAAAAGGTCGGTCGGTTTTTTATAATGACCACTTTTTTTAATAGTTAAAATTTTTTTGCAGTCCAAAAACTATTAACGTTTCCGAAACTCCTAGAATTTTTAGATCGAGTAAAGTTAGAAAGATTCAAAAAAATCAGATATTTACGACCATAAAAAGAAGATTTTTTTCGTTTTTTTCCGTTATATATCAGACCAAAAAATTTTTATTCGATCTGTAATCGAAACATGTTGTTCAAAAATAGTGTTCGATAAGAATTTGAAGCATTTTTGGCGAAAATTTAAAAAAATTCAGAAACAGAGTTTTAGAAAGTTTATTGATTGAATTTTCGAAAACATGTTGAGAAATATGTTTTTTAGAACCGTCACGACCCCTTAATTTAGTCCAAAACCTTTTTGAGTATTGAAATTTCGGAAAAAAAAAACAGTCATTATAAAATACCGACAGCTTTTTCAGGAAGGCAACGAGAGAAAGGATTCAAGAATCAAGTTCAAAAAGAACACATAAAGATCTTGAAAGAGGGACATGAATTAAATGAAATATTTATGATTTTTTTGGACGAAACTAGTGAAAATAAGCAATTTATTGAGATTGGAAAAAAATAAAAAGCTTTTTTTACAACAACCGCGCTCTGGCGAACACTTGGATGTCATAAAATGTTTCATTTCTTGAATAAAAAGCAAGAAAAAAAAAGATATATGATTATTTTTTTGAATCATTTTCTGAGAGTTTGTACACGTGAAAAGCAGAAAAAAGGGTAGATTTAAAGAAGAAAAAAGACACTTCAAAAAAAATTTTATTTTGAAAATTGGTCTAGGGATTTCTTTTTTACGTTTCGAATTGTCAGAAAATTCAGGTTGACGTCATTTAACGTAGATGATTTTGTTGCGATTTTATTCGAGTTAACGAAGAATGGAACTCAATGAATGTGATTGAAAACAAAAAGACCGAAATAGTGTTCGATGGGAGGAGATTTAGACAAATTTGTAGCTATTTTATCCATGTTAACGGTGAATGTCGTTTAATTATAATGAAAAAAGCGAGGATTTCAAAAATTTGAGAGAGAATGAGAGATTGGACGAAATAACTGAGACAGCGCGCGAAGAGGAGAGGTTTAGACATCTTTACACTGTTTTTATCACTAGCGGAACATAATTATGAGAAAAAAAAGAGGCTTAGAGATTTTTCAGATAACGACGGATGGAATATGAATAAAAACAAGACTGAAAAACTAGAAGAAATGAGAAAATCGGGCTATAGAAGTTTTTGAGCGACTTCACGAGCAAGTTAACGGGATTAGAGTATACGTTGAACAGTGGAAAATTTAATAATAACTGGAAAATCCAAAAATTAGGAAAGAATCAAAAATTGCATGAGAGAAAGGCCAAAACGACCGAAATTCGCGGCGCTGAAACAACAAAAGACGGGCCGAAAAAAAAAGGGAATATGAGGCTGTCAAACTGTCAGTGGCGGTATTGAACCTGACGAGAAGTGTGCCGAGAGCCGAGAAGTGCTCTGGGGGGAAATGGACACCGGATTACGGGTGTCGGCGGCCCTTCCGGAACCATCAAATCGGCTGGAATCGCCCGTGGCGGACCGCCGATCGTGTCAAAACAAACAAGAAAAAAAGGTGCGAAAAGCGTCGCCCGCTTTTGGGGAGGAGGCTCGACGCAAAAACTTGGACTCTTTCAGCTCATTTTCGTGATCGGCGAAAGGTAGTCCATTCATGGTTATCTTCTCATTAGAACAGTTGATTTTTAAAAAAGGGTCTTGAAACTAGGGACCGCAAAGCCACGCCCCTTTTCGCGATAGAAAAAGTGGCTTTTTTTTGGTTTTCAACTTTCATTTTGTTTTAGTTGCAAAATATATGGAACTGGCGAATAAAATTTGACACACATGTACAGAAAAGCTTCCTCTTTCGTTTAAAAAATATTTCACGCTTTTTTTGATGCGTTCGCGCGGAATGTCGTACAAAAACGTGAATGGAACTAAAAAAATTTTTTTCATTTTTTTGCTTTTTTTCATGTGTTTTCAGGTCGAACGCACTCTTTCTTTTTTTATATAATGATTTTTGATTCAAGTAACGGTAATTTTTAAAACAATAAAATAAAAAATTCGTCTTTGCCAAACATTTTTGCGAGTGCCGAAAGTCATAATTCAAAATATCGTTAACAAGCGAATATAATCGAGTTTTTGTTTTTTCAAAATTTAGACCATGGGCTTACTTAAATTTTTCTCCACAGCATATGTGCTTGAAAAAGTTGTTTGATACGCAAAAATGCTCTTGAAAATAGAGAATAAAATTAGCGGCGTTTATCAGACAGAAAGCGGTCGAACGCAGGTTTTTCAAACGATTATATACATTTATTAGTAAAAAATCTTTCAATTAAAAGAATAAAATAAAAAATTCGTCTTTGCCGAAAATATACGGGGCCGTTTTAATGCAGCGATCGTTAAAAGAGGCAAAAAGCACTGAAAAAAACAGTTTTTTCGAAGTGAATTTCCACGAAACGTTTGAGTAAAGATTTGCGAACATATTCTGATAAAAAAATAGCTTAATTACTTTAAGTTTTTTTCTTTTTGAAATAGGCAATCTGTGCTTTCCAAACTTCTCAAGGGTAAGGGGGATGGAAGCTCCCCGCGCTAGACCTGACAGCTTGGCGCAGTGCGTGCGCTGCGATTCTTCATTTTGAGGTCGCGAGTTCGATACCCGCAAGCGTCAGTTTTTTTGTTTTTCTGGAAAAATACCGACTTTTTTTCGGCAAACTAGCTGATTAGCATCATTTTAGCACTCTATTATAATTTTTTTACATCATAATAGACCAGTATCAAAAAAATTTTTTTCTAGAAGAAAAAAATCGAGAAAAAAATGTCAAAAATGGATAATACCAAAAAAATTCAGTACTAAAAAAATGGTGCGCGGCGTGCCACATTTTTCGTCATAACTTTTTTCATCCTCAATCTTTTTTGAAAAACTAAACGGTTCTGAGTTCTGAATCGAAACAGCTATCAAACCATACATAGCTCAACGCTGAAAAAAAATTTTTGAAAATTCGTCTGCGGTCCCTATCTTGAAACGATTAGTGAAACAGTGGGAGGATAAACTGGGACCTTTCTATCTCATTTTTGTGATCTGCGAAATGTGGTCCTTTCAAGGTTATTTTCTCATTAGAACAGTTGATTTTTAAAAAAGGGTCTTGAAACGATAATTAATGCAAGGGCCGTCTAACTTGGACCTTTCCAGCTCATTTTTGTGATCGGCGAAATGTAGTCCATTCATGGTTATCTTCTCATTGGAACAGTTGAACTTCAAAAAAGGGCCTTGGAACGATTAGTGAAGCAGGGGCAAGATAAACTAGGACCTTTCCAGCTCATTTTTGTGATTGGCCAAATTTAGTCCATTCAACGATACCTTGTCACGAAAAAATTAATTTTTTGAAAATTTAATTAAGAAAAAAGTGACTTCATTCAATATTTTGGAGCTTTACAAGTTAAGAAGTAAGAAAAAAGGAGATGTCTAAGATTAAAAAATTCAAGGGCTGTGAAGATATTTAATAACTTATGATCTTAAGTATTTGGTCAGGGAAATCAGAAAGAAGGACTAGGGAATGAAAATGTTCAGATAAATCATTTAAGTCACAGGTGGGGTTAGTTAAGGTGAAGTCGCATGTGAGGATTGTTACGGTGAGGTGAAGTCACAGGTGGGGTTTGTTAAGGTGAAGTCGCATGTGAGGATTGTTACGGTGAGGTGAAGTCACAGGTGGGGTTTGTTAAGGTGAAGTCACAGGTGGGGTTAGTTAAGGTGAAGTCGCATGTGAGGATTGTTACGGTGAGGTGAAGTCACAGGTGGGGTTTGTTAAGGTGAAGTCGCATGTGAGGATTGTTACGGTGAGGTGAAGTCACAGGTGGGGTTTGTTAAGGTGAAGTCACAGGTGGGGTTAGTTAATCCAACTAGTGGTCTTTTTCCCTCCCTGCAACATCACCATACCATCCCGATGTTGCGAAAATATAGTGATTCGAGTTGAAGTCATTCGACAATAAATTTGAATTTTCAGTGGATTCATTAGATTTAATGTCAACTTTTCGCAAAAAATAGGAGGATCAGTAAGGTTTTTGAGGCGAATACGATTTACTGGAACAATTAGAAAAAATAGTTTTGAGAAGGTTGAAACTGGTTTCTTGGAGAAATTGAAAGATGATAAATGAAAAAAAATTATTATTTTCAAAATCACGCAAGAACTTTCCACAAAAAACTCTCAAGTCCTCAGTTTCAGTTTTTAATAGTCGAGGTCGTTAGAGGAAAAACTTCAAGTTAACACCCAAATGACTATGTAATTTTTGAAAAGCCTTAGAAACATAAATGAAATGAAAATAGTGCATTAAAGTACACGAGAAGGACGCAGTTGTGTAACAACAATTACCAGAAAAAATATCTGTATTTATCGTCTTTAAAAGTGAAGGTGAACAGGGAACGTTGTTACTATTGGCTTACTTAGAAAACTAACAAGAAAAACAGCTCGAGAAGTGGCACTCGGGTGGAAGAAGCCGGGAAAATTAGGGGAAGAAGCCTTGGAGTAATTGGCAAGACGCGACTGTATAGACGCAAAAAAAGACACGCAAAATATACAACAACCGCCGTCGCCTCCGTACATGAGAGGAAGGGCGAAAGTGCAATTACGCGTAGAGGATTGACTCGGTTTCTGCCTGTGAATCCGACCAGAAGACGTCGTGCCGCTGCTTGTTTTTCTTCAGCGACGATTTAAACCTTGCGACAATTCCTTTTGGCGGTGCTTTAGAGGAAGAGTCCAGGATCGGGTCCTGGTTCAAGGAATTTTGGAGTTCAGATATGATTTTCAACAAATAAGAGGCTTAGGTTTGAGGTTGAACTCGAGGAATGAGTAAGGTGATTCTC